ACTCTGCTGTGACCTCCAGGCTAGGTCCCTAGGCACTTCGTATCACAAGGTCAGTCCCAGTGTGTGTGGAGCACTGGTTGTCAGTGGGCAAGCACACCACTCCTTTACTATTAGAGAAACCATCAACCTTGCCAAGTCACCCATTCCCTGGCTGGTTGGCTGACATTAGCAAAGATACATGTAAGGCTGTCCTTAGCAACAGTAATATAGCCTGCACTAGACAGCATTCTATATGTTGAACTAAATGTACTGTATCTACTCTAACCTACAGTCCCCTAGATGTAAGCCCTTTTCTTTGGATACACCGTGTATGCACTACTTTAGAGAGACTTCAGGTGAGGAACAAACGTCTTTACTGAAATAGTCCAAGGGCATACAAGAACAGTTTCTCCAAAGGAACTTCACACACATTCTTGTACAGAGTTCTCTAAGTGCCATAAAGTGACTGTAATTTAGGCAGATTGCAAGTTCAATTAGCAATCCTTTTGAGGCAGGAGTCCATTAAGGCAAACAATCCACAGAGGTAGCAAGCAGTTCCTTAAAGTCCATAATCTGAACGTTATCCACAAAAACAACAAGTCCATGTCTGGAAGCTATGTATGAGTCCAAAAAAGTTCTCAGATTCCAAACCCCATAAGGAACTCCAACTGGGCCCCCAAATGGGGGCACAGACGGGCAGAGTAACAGTCTATATCTTGGCAGTCTTTCCAGCAGGGCACCTAGGAGGTAGACAAGAACCCCTTGTTATATGGTATAGCCTGCAGGGGGTGGTAATCTTGCTAAAAAAAAGTGTAGGAAAATCGTTTACCATTTCTACTTAGCAACCACAAGACACAGTACACACATCTATATTGTAACAGTATAGTTGAAAAACAGCACAGTGGATATAGATACCGGCAGAAGAAAAGTCAGCACAGAAGAGAAACTTTTAACTAATATTGAACCCAAAAACAAACATTTATTATATTACTGCTTACCAATGCATAGTAGTGATGGCTGTATTAGTTTTCTTTTTTAAGCTTGCTTTCTTCTATTTTCATCTGGTAATTCAGCCAGCAACTGTTTTTCAGAAGCTCAAGCTGTCCAGAAGAACATATCAGTTAAAAGGATGAGACAATTCATTTACCAAAGGCAGGGGTGATTAAAATGACCAGCTTGTATTTATTCATGTAAAACCTTTAACCCAAAAGGAAAAAACTGCTATAACTGATTATAAAGTGTGAGCTTGAATTTGGCTTCAATGTGTTATTGTATTTAAATCTGCTAATACATTTAACACTCCCTTGCCCTGCAGACTGACAACGCTGCTGTCTGCTGTGTCCTGTGTTCATTCCTCCAGAGTGGTGTCTCACTAATACAAGAAGGGTGTAAAAGCTCTCCAACAAATGTAGCAGTTACAGTGTTGAGACAAACCATTTACTACTGACAGCGGTGCTTATAATGGTCAGCTTTTATTTATGTATGTAAAACCTTTACCACAAAAGAAAAAAAACTGTTGCTGTAATAGGATGTGTAACTGCAGTGTGAGCTGAAATTTTTGCTTCAATTTGTTAGTGTATTTAAATCTGCTAGTGCACCTAACACACCCTTCCTCCCATATTAACATTGTTGCTGTCCAAAGGTGCCCCTGTGCTCCTTCATCCAGAGTAAAGGCACTCTATATTAGAGGAGGTGTGTTACTGGCTAGATCACCAGATGAAAACAGAGAAAAATGCCTACAAAAAGAAAACTGATACAGCCACCACATCTAATGACTGGCAAGCTGCAATAGAATACATTTCTGGTTTTGGGTTCAATACTGCTTTAACCATTTGGAAACACCTGCTTACACTTTTACCATTTTTTAGAGGTTGATGGCTTCATTAGTTCTTTTTTTCATGCTTTTGTATTTATATACAATATATTTTTAATCCAAAAATAAAAATGTACTGGGTGGCAGAACACCTTCCGTTAAGTGGTTAGCCTGTTGCTTTTGCATGAAAGGGCCTCTGTTCCTTTACTTGCACTATTTGATTCTGCCAGTAAGATCATTTTCTGCTTTCTTTTCTAGAGTGACAATACTCCTTGAGTGCAGGATATAGGCTCCTGTGGTGAACTGCAAATTGATGCATGTTCAGCCTGCCCATTGCAGTCCTTCAGTAAGACCTGCTCATCTAACCCAGATACAGTCTCAGCAACGTGCATCGAATAGCAATACCTACATCAGCTTTCCAAGTGTCTCAAAAGAGAAGTGCACTTATAACAATGTAAGTGAATGCACATGCAAGAAATGGCCACAGAGAGCTATAGAACATTGGACACCTAGTTCTGAATGTCAAATCCTCCTTCATACATTGTATCTGTTTATCTGCAACAGTTTTCCCCTATATATATATTCAAAGAATTTACACAGGATCTCTCTGCTCTGAAAAGCAGGGGGCGGGGAACTGAAGTTACATCAGTGAGAAGAGCTCAGAGCTGATAGGAGGGCAGAGACGCACACCCCTCCACACAGCACACAGGAACAGAGCTGAGTCTGTCAATCTGATGGAGCTCCCTCCCCGTCACCATTTTTCTCTTGGTGCTCTGGATTAAGACAAGTACATACTATAGAGGGATATGCTTTGTTCAAATTTCATGTCTGAGGCTTACAACCACTTTAACCACTTCCATTCCGACCCATGTACATAAACAGCCGGACAGAAGCAGTGCCGAAGTGGGTGTCAGTTTATAAATGGCCCCCACATTCATTGCCTGTTAGCGCTCCCTGGGAGCACGCGGCACCACAGACACAGCGGAACACTGATTGCTGTACAGGACCTCTGTGTGAGGTCCTGATTCATGTCCAATCAGTGATCACATGAATAGCAGTAAACAAAATGTCACTTCCTGACATCATTGCTTACTACTTGTGAAATCTGTGAATGATCACATAGGTCACATGGTACAAGGCTATTCACAACAGCCTTGTACCATGTGACAAGCTGTGACCAATCACAGCTCTCACAGTATTTCTCAATGGTTGCGAGAATGTAGCCAGAGAGAAGGAGAAATGATTGCTTTTACACCCATAAAGGCTGTAAAAGCAATCAGTGTGAAAAAAGAAAAAAAAATCTTCACCACCCACAACAAGTGTACTGCTAGAGTGACAGTATGTTAAAAAAAAAACATAAATAATATAAAAAAAACAAAATGAAAATGTAAAAAAAAATTTTTGAAAAATTATAATTTTTGGTTATAAATCAATTTGGGGTTTTTTTTACTAAAAAGATAGATGAATACATTTTGGTCAAGATTTATGAAGAAAGATTATTTATTTGCAAAGTTTTATAAGAAAAACACTTTTTTTTTCAAAATTTTTGGACTTTTTCAATTATATAGCAAAAAAATAAAAATCCCAGTGGTGAATAAATACCACCAAAATAAAGTTTTATCTGTCTCAAAAAAAGGGAAAATAACTCATATTCAGTGTTGCATGACCGCGCAATTGTCATTCAAAGTGTGATAGCACTGAAAGCTGAAAATTGGCCTGGACAGGAAGGGGGTGAAAGTGTTTGGACTTGAAGTGGTTAAACAGTATGTTTTTAAAATTAATTTAGGTAGAATCTTAGAACAAATTTTGATCCCATTAATATATTAGCTCTTGATGAGGGCTAAAACTCTGCTTTTACTTTTTCCTATGACCATTTTTTTAAACATATGCTAATATGCCCATTTTTGGGGGTGAAAGAATATTTGGAGAATAAAAACTTTTTTTCTAATGCACAAAATAAAATGATCAAACCTTCACAGTAAAAAAATTAATTTTAGTGCGCACAAACACAATATTACCCCCCATTACTCTGCTTTTACTTTTTCCTATGACCATTTTTTTAAACATATGCTAATATGCCCATTTTTGGGGGTGAAAGAATATTTGGAGAATAAAAACTTTTTTTCTAATGCACAAAATAAAATGATCAAACCTTCACAGTAAAAAAAATTAATTTTAGTGCGCACAAACACAATATTACCCCCTTTTTTTCTTGTAGAATGTAAAAGATGTACTATGGAGCCAGACAAAGGGCCTGTTAAGGACTCAAAACATATCAAATATTGTAATGGAGATTTAAGAGGTCAATGCAAATTACTCCCTTAGAACTATGTAAAAAGGCAGCCCACAGAAACCAAGGATCTCAGGATTTTTGCACAAGGCTATTAAAAGAGATGCGCACTTTCCTTTGAGCACTACATCCCAGTGATGGCAGCCAGCATCCCAGGCCCCTATGTTTACATTCAGATGCCGGCTGGTTAGAACACCAGTATGCACTCTAGTAGAGATGGCTTTTATGTATACTCCAAAGTTTTGCCTCACATATGACTCATATTACTACCCAGCATGGAAGAATAACCATGCTCCCCATGAAGAGATACTTGTTATCACTAATGGTAGGCGAGTTGTCCTAAAATTTTTCTATTATTAAAAAAAGTACACTTTTATTAAAGTTTTAAATAAAGTCTCAATTACTCCATGCAGCACAACTTAATTGCACAACCTAATTGGTCAGTACTGCAGTTTTCTATAATGTACCAGTCTATTCCTTAAAGCTTACTATACATTATTAATATGTTTTTTGTTCAGCCAGTGGGCTAAACCAAAAAAAAAAATCTAATAGATTCCCCCATCCATGCTATGCAGCATGGATGGACAAATTTCCCTGCTGGAAAATATTCAAACGATGATGGCATCATACCTCGCCATGCTCTTGTGGTTACTGTTTCACGATCAGTGGCCCCTGAGCTAGAGCTGTATGAGAGGCCTTCCTCCCAGGCTGGATCTAGCCTATCTGATCTGGGGGTGCAGTAAAAATGAAAAGTCAGGGGGTGTAATGTCAACACCGTATGAGTCACTGACAGTCTTTCACACAGTGTCACAACTGTAGAAACACTGCTATGTATTAGGGCTGTTTTAGAATAGGGTGATTAAAAAAAGCCTGTGCCCCTTTATATTTGATGGCCCTATCAAAGTTCTCCATTATCAGGTTCCCCCATTAGAGTGCCCCCTTACATTAGGTGTCCTGACCAAGGTCCCCCCCTACACCAGGTGTCCCCATCAGAGTTCCCCCTTACATCAGGTGTTCCCATCAGAGTGTCTCCTTACATCAGGTGTCCCCATCCCTCATCAGAGTGCCCTTTTGCACCAGGTGTCCCCAGCACAGTTCCCCATTACATCAGGCGTCCCCATTAACCACTTGAGCTCCTGAGGATTTACCCCCCTTAATGACTAGGCCTCTTTTTGCTACTTGGCGCTGCACTAATTCAACTGATAATTGCGCAGTCATGCAATGCTGCACCCAAACAAAATTTACGTCCTTTTTTTCACACAAATAGAGCTTTCTTTCGGTGTAATTTGATCACCTGTGCGCTTTTTTTTTTTCACGCTATAAACAAAAAAAAACGCCAAAAATTTTGAAGAAAAACATTATTTTTTATTTTCAGTATATAGTAAATATATAAACTCAATAGTAAACTCAAAGTTGGTTATAAATTTAGGCCAAAATGTATTCTGCTACATGTTTTTGGTAAAAAAAATCCCAATAAGTGTATATTGATTGCTTTGTGTGGAAGTTATAGCGTCTACAAACTATGGTATAAATACTGCAACTTCCGCCATTTTTCTGCTATACAGCACTGCGCTAGTTTAACGGACAATTGCGCGGTCATGCAATATGGTACATAAATGAAATTTACATCTTTTTTTTCCCTACAAATTGAGCTTTCTTTCGGTGGTATTTGATTGCCTGTGCGGTTTTTATTTTTTGCGCTATAAAAAAAAAAGGCTGACAATTTTGAGGGAAAAAAAACAATATTTTGGACTTTTTGCTATAAAACATGTCCAGTAAAAAAAAATGCAAAAATCAAATTTAGTCATAAATTTCTGCCAAAATGCATTTTGCGACATGTCTTTGCTAAAAAAAAAACCAATACGTGTAAATTAATTGGTTTACGTGAAAGTTATAGCGTTTACAAATGGCGGGAAAGATACTGTGATTTTTAGGTTTTTTTTTATACTAATAATGGCGGCGATCAGCGAATTATGGCGGCGATCAGGGACTTATGGCAGCGACCAGCGACTTATGGCGGGACTGCGGCGGACATTCTGACATTGGGGGGTACTGACTTGGGGTCACTGACATCCCCAAAAACACTAATACAGTGATCAGTGCAAAAAAAAAAACTGACACTGTACTAATGGCAATGGGGAGGAAGGGGTTAACTTTATTTAGCAGGGAAGGGTTATAGGAGTGAGGGAAGTGTTTTACTAGGGGGCGGGGGTGTGTACTGGGCGGGACAAGGCTGATCGAGAAAGTGAAACTATTCTTTCTCGATCAGCTCATCCTCGAGCTGACAGAGAGGTGACAGACAGCACAGCTACTGCAGCTGTGCTCTCTGTCACCGTTTACCGCCGATCGCCGGGACATAGCCGCTAATGAGCGTCTGTGACCCGGCAACTGACATCTGCGGCGGTGATCCACAGGCCAAATAGGGCCGCAGGGCGCCTCGCACGTGCCCCCTATTTGTTTACAAAACACACGTTTTAAAACGTGGTTTTGCCTGTGAGTGCCGCCCTGCCTCCGTATATGTACAGTGGCTGGGCAGCATGCGGTTAAAGTCTCTCTTACATCAGATGTTTCCATAAGAGTGCCCCCTTACACCAGGTGTCTCCATCAGAATTCCCCCTTACATCAAATGTTCCCATCAGAATCCCCCTTACATCAGGTGTCCCCATCAGAGTTCCCCTTTACATCAGGTGTCCCCAGCAGACTGCCCCCTTACATCAGGTTTCCCCATCCGTCATCAGAGTGCCCTTTTGCACCCCCCTTGTGTCCCCAGCACAGTTCCATCTTACATCAGGTGTCCCCAATAGAGTCCCCCTTAAATCAGATGTCCCCATCAGATTGCCCCCCCTTACATCAGGTGTCTCCATCAGAATTCCCCCTTACATCAGGTGTTCCCATCAGAATCCCCTTTACATCAGGTGTCCCCATCAGAGTACCCCCTTACATCAGGTGTCCCTATCCTTCATCAGAGTGCCCCCAGCACAGTTCCCCCTTACATCAGGTGTCCATCAGAGTTCCCCTTTACATCAGGTGTCCCCAGCAGACTGCCCCCTTACATCAGGTTTCCCCATCCGTCATCAGAGTGCCCTTTTGCACCCCCCTTGTGTCCCCAGCACAGTTCCATCTTACATCAGGTGTCCCCAATAGAGTCCCCCTTAAATCAGATGTCCCCATCAGATTGCCCCCCCCTTACATCAGGTGTCTCCATCAGAATTCCCCCTTACATCAGGTGTTCCCATCAGAATCCCCTTTACATCAGGTGTCCCCATCAGAGTACCGCCTTACATCAGGTGTCCCTATCCTTCATCAGAGTGCCCCCAGCACAGTTCCCCCTTACATCAGGTGTCCCCATCAGAAATCCCCCTTACATCAGGTGTCCCCATCAGAATGCCCCCTTACATTAGGTGTCCCCATCCCTTATTAGAGTGCCCTTTTGCATCAGGTGTCCCCAGCACAGTTCCCCCTTACATCAGATGTCCCCATCAGAGTTCCCCTTTACACCAGGTGTCCCCAGCACAGTTCCCCCTTACATCAGGTGTCCCCATAAGAGTGCCCCCTTACATCAGGTGTCCCCATCAGAATTCAGGTGTCCCCATCAGATTGCCCCCTTACATTAGATGTCCCCATCAGAGTTCCCCCTTACATCAGGTGTCCCCATCAGAGTGTACCCTTACATCAGGTGTCCCCATCCGAGTGCCCTCTTACATGGATTGTTACCATCAGAGTGCCTCCTTACATCAACAATCTGCATCAGATTGGCTCATGAATTAGTGGATACACTCTCAGGGAACTGAGGGGCACAGCTAAAATCTGGGAGGGGCCAGCACGCCCCAGCACTCCCCTACATCCGGCCCTGCCTCCCTCTGCACATCAGGCTCACTAACCAGGTACATGACAGAACCAAATAGCCATGTCTGAGCCTGCAAGAGGACGCTCTCCATTGGATGAGATCTGCCAGCATCTTGCAGCCCTAACGTAAACAGTTAAAGGATAAGTTCACCTTTTTTTTTTTTTTTCTAAAATTCCAGATCCCCTATCTACTGTAACAGTATAGCATTAACCGCTTAAGGACTGCCCTATAGCAGATATATTGCTACAGGGTGGCACCTGTGCGCAGGATCACGTATATATACGTCATTCTGCATTTCCAGGTAGGGGGCACATGCACGTCCTACCCGTGCCTCCATTCGCTGCCACGGATGTCAATCATCGGGTCCCAGATGGTAATTACCCGCCAGCGCCTGGTGATTACCGAGCATCTCCGACGGGGAGGAAGATTGTTTTGTTTACAAACAATCTTCCTCCCTGTCAGCTCGAGCACACTGCTCGTGATGACTGTACACAGTACAGCCATCCCAATCAGTGTGCGTACAGTGAAGCACAAACCCCCCACCCCCTAGTAAAACACTCCCAACACACAGTTGACCCTTTGATTGCCCCACGCATTAATCCCTTGCCCAGGGTCATTAGTAGTTTCAGTGCTTTTTTTTAGCACTGATCATTGTATTGGTGTCACTGGGGTGTCAGTGACACCAAGTTAGTTCCCCCCAGTGTCAGAATGTCTGCCGCAGTCCTGCTAAAAGTCGCTGATTGCCGCCATTACTAGTAGAAAAAAAATCCCATTATCTGTACCGCCATTTGTAAATGCTATAACTTTCACGTAAACCAATTAATTTACGCGTATTGGGATTCTTTTTTTAACAAAGACATGTAGCAGAATACATTTTGGCCTACATTTATGGCAAAATTAGATTTTTTTAATTTTTTTACTGGACATGTTTAATAGCAAAAAGTCCAAAATATTGTTTTTTTTCTCAAAATTGTCGGTTATAGCGCAAAAAAATAAAAAATGCACAGGCGATCAAATACCACCGAAAGAAAGCTCAATTTGTGGGAAAAAAAGGACGTAAATTTCATTTGGGTGCAGCATTGCATGACCGCGCAATTGTCAGTTAAAGTAATGCAGCATCGTAACGCAAAGAAATGTCCTGGTCATGAAGCGGGGTAAATCCTCAGGACGGCAAGTGGTTAATGTACTTCTTTTGCAGAAATTCAAAAGCTTTCCATTTATTCTACCCGCCTTTTATGACAGTGTCCAGATTTCTGTCCAAAAATCTCTATTACTTCTACCTTATATCCTGCAGAGACTTTAGGTCATGTCACAGGGAGGATTTAACCAGCTGACCTAATTCGCACACAGCCTGTATCATCTACCCTCCTACCTCCCACCCACTTCCAGGTGCACGAATATTAAATGAAAAGCAATCAATCAGTGATCACTGTTCTCACTAAATACACAGACATTGATTTTTTTTTTCCACCTTAACTTTTCTCTTGCATAGATAATCCATTTGGCAGAGTGTGCTGAGTGAACAGATAATAGCCTATGTGGATAGAGCTGTAATATTGAAAACAAGATGGAAAAAATGAAAGAGAGGGAAAAATTAACTGGAATGTATCAAAAACGCACTGGAATGCATCAAAAACACAAAAAAATAAACTAGAATGCGCCAAAAGCACACATGCTGAAACGCATCTGGACTACGTTTCTATGGTGTGAACCGGCAGCCCATTTAAGTGGATGCTCTGCTCTATGGACACAGCGATCACCAACAGTGCCGGGTGCGCGCCCGCTTGGGGGCGTGTTCTGGGAGGACATCCTTGGACACCCTCCCAGAACTAGACAACCGCACTGTAGCCATCTTTCGGCTATAGCGCAGTTGGCAAGCAGTTAATCTCACCTCCGGCAGTGTCAGTGTGGCTTCCGACCCGGCAGCTCATTCCCATCCATGCTGAACACGTCGCCCCTGGCCCCAGAGCAGTGTGGGAGCCGCTTCCTCTCATCCACGCCCATCCCCAGATTCGTCACCCCTGGCACCAGAGCCATGTGGGAGAGGCTTCCTCTCATCCACACCCACTCTGGCCCCAGAGACATGTGGAAGATGTAGTTTGATGGGGGGGTGCAGTGTGGACGAGATCTGGATGGCCGGTCAGTGTGTACGGTCCATGTGCACTCATCTTCCTCTTCTTCCTGACGTGCCCACTAAAATGGCTCTGCATGCCAGCTCTGGGTCATGTGCCATAGGTTCACCATCACTGGAATAGGAGGATCCACCTATCTACCCAATTACTCTGTATCCAATCAGGCAGGCCCTTACACTACATAGTTGATGGGAGATCTATCTAGTGTATGTGAACTTTACAGAACCCAGAACACAATTCTCCTGTTTTCAGTAATACAGCTCTATCAACATAGGCCAGCATCTGTTCACTCAGCACACTCTACCAAATGAATGATCTATGCAAGATGAAAGTTAGATGGTAGATGATGCAGGGTGTGTGCTAATGAGATCAGCTGGTCAACTCCTTCCTGTATCCTGACCAAAAGTCTCTCCTGGAAGTAAGGCAGAATGAATAAGCTTTTTGGACAGTCATCATCTGGACGTTGACATAAAGCTGGGTAAAAAACATGGAAAGCTTTTGAATTTCTGCAAAAGGAGTATATTAATGTTATACTGGTACATAGGGAAGCTGGAATTTAGAAAAGAAAGGTGAACTTATTCTTTAAGACCCTGCAGGAGGGGTTCATCTGAAAGAACGTGTACAATCCCTGGGTACTTCAGCAACCTCCACTTTCTCTGTTTCCGCCTCCTGCACAGCTGCTGCTCAGAGACTCCTGCCAGCTCTGCAGTAGTGATGCTACCTCTTGAACCTTGAGTGCCAACCCCTGAGAGGTTTTCTGGTGACTGAAGTAAATTCAGGGCATTTTGCAATGCATGTCAGTTCTACTTTACTCTGCAGCCATAGACTTTTTCCTTGGAATCCAGCAAGGTGGGGTTCATTATAGCCTTACTCCACGTTGAACCCCAGACGTGAGCTCAATGACTACTGGAGGAAATAACGAACAACTAATCACCATGTCTTATATGAATGTGAATTAGAGACCTTAGATTGTACACCCCTTGAGGGTTAGGGACTGATGTGACTGTACAATATACAAAATTATGTAAAAGCACTGCGTAAATTGATGACGCTATATAAGTACCTATAATAAATTTAAAAAAATATGTCTTCCTTCTTTGCTATAGCCCAGCTGTGTGACAGTCTGCAGCGAACTGCCACCACTAAGGCGGCTCCCCCCAGCGGGGCTGCAGAGCTGTTGAGGACTATGTCACTGAATTTAGGCGTTTGAGTGCAGACACCAGCTGGAACGACGCAGCTCTGTGACACTAATCCCACTTGGGTCTCTCACAGGGTCTAAAGTATGAATTAGTCCAGGTCGGTGTGCCAAGCTCTCTGGAAAATTTAATCACACTGTCAATCCATATCACGAACGCAGGCTAGAAAGATCAGCGCCACAATCCTGACCAGTGTGGATGATGTCAAAGATTCCAGTCCACTCTAAGCTGATGCCTGCCAGTCCAGCTCCATCTGCACCAGAACCCATGCAACTTAACCTGATATGTCCATCATTAACCCCAGAAGAATGCAATGCTGCTGGCAGAACAATCTCTGTCTATATTGTGGGGAATCCAGTCACTATGTACGCACCTTCCTGATAAACCTGCATAAGTGTCTTTTCATTTCTTTGGCTAGTCACTTGCCCTTATCTGCCAGCTCCACTCACATTGCTCTTTGGGTTTCCTTCCAGCTTCCGGGAAGAATTGTGTGGATGACCACAATTGACTGGGGAGCTTGCAGCTGCTTCATCGACCTGACTTTTGCAGCACAGCAAAATATTCCACTACAGTCCAAGGAGCAAGAGCTCACTGTGTTTTTGCCCAATGGGTCTATAAAATCAGGACTGTTGACTAAGGAGACCCCACCATTACTGACTATCATGGCTACCAACCATAAAGAACTATTACGTCTGGATGCAATCTTGTCGCCCTTGTTTCCTGTTATCTTGGGCCTACCCTGGCTACAGGCTCACAACCAACAGATTGACTGGAATTTCGGTAATGTCAAGTTCCAGTCTTCATACTGCCACAAACATTGCATGCCAGGACCATCTGTGCCACCTTTCACCCTGCTATGTATGGACTTTGACATTGAACTATGCCAGGCAACACCAAAGGCTTATCATGAAAACTTGGATGTTTACAGTAAACAGGGACACACACCCTTTCTCCACACAGGCCTTATGATTGCCCCATTGAGCTCCTCCCTGGGGCTGAAATTTTGTTTGGGCGCATCTTCCCCCCGTTCAAATGAGAATTGGGGGCCTTGAAGGATTACATTGATATGAACCTTCAAAAGGGATTCATCCACCACTCTACTTCACCAGCTGGTGCAGGAATATTTATTTAGAAAAAAAAAAGGACCATTCCCTTCGGCCATTTGTAGACTATCAGGACTTGGCACCTGAACTCTTCCAAAGACTTATGTCTGCCACTATTTTCACCAAACTGGACCTGAGGGGGGCCTACAATTTGGTCCTCATCCAGGAAGGGAATGAGTGGAAGAATACATTTCGTATTCATTTCGGCCACTTCAAGTACTTAGTCATGCTATTCAGCCTATGCAACACCAGCCTCATGGATTCTATGCAAGCCTGAAAAATGTGAGTTCAAGCAGCAGAATATTCAGTTCCTGGGCTTGATCATTTCCACTGAAGTAATCAAAATGGACCCACAAAAGATTTCTGCAATCCTGGACTGGCAAGCACCCACAGATAAAAAGAGGATTCAACGTTGTGTGGGATTTGTTAACTTCTATTGGAAATTTATCAAGAATTTCTCAGCCATTATCACACCCATTACACAGC